ATGAAACCGAAACAAGATGGTCTTTATGAACATTTTTTCTGTTGGATACAATTATTTAAATTGCTCTTCTTCTGTTAAAGGAAGATGCCAAAATCCATGTCAAAGAGACGTATAATTGGAACAAAATTTACATATCCTTTATTCATAGATAAATGAAACAGGAATTTTTTAAACTGAAAATCCAATTTTCGCAATACAAATTTGAAATGAAGCTTGTGGAGAACCTAGAAATGTTAAAAAACGAAAAAATTTTCCTGCTACACTGTTAAAGCACAACAGCTACTGTTTTTAGTGCTCAATCAAAATGAAAACCAAATTCAAATCTGAATTGAATTTTAAAATAATGAATTCATGAAAGTCGGCTAACTCGAAGACATGTTGAACCAAAAAAAACATATGTCAAAAGAAAGTCCCCACAAATGAAAACGGAAAAATCTCGGTTTAGGATACTCTGATATTTTCAGACAAATCCAAAAATTCTGGACAACTTTTTTCAGAACTTCAAAGTTGATTATGTTTTGCTGAAAAAGTAAAAGTATGATTTATTTTCTGTTTCAGAAAGTTGCCATAGAAAATTTAGAAAACACAGACAATGATATGGATTCAAAGTTTGAGGATAATATTGGAAAACATATTAGAATTCAAGAAATATTTTTTTTTAATTGTGAAATGTACTGTTGACATGTCAACTGTCAATCTTATCAAAAGTCATCAGGAATCATACTCCCAGGTGGGATTTTAAAAAATTCAAAATTCCAAAAAATCAACTAATTGTTGTCTTTAACACGACAAGACTCGGATCAATGTCGCAATTACGAAAAGAGGCAAAACATTGTTGAAACAAAAAATGGGCGGAGAGAGTGTGTGAGACGAAGAGGCGCAGGCACACTGATGTTATCCGGGCGGAGACAGTTGGCGCTGTCTCTGAGCTGGTGGGAGCAGAAGATGAGCGATTTGTACGGATCATGGATGAGTAAAGTAGGAGGAAACGGAAGAGAGATGAGAGATAAAAGAGTGATACGGAGGATATGGAAATTCGCTGAGTAGCGACTCAAACAAAATTTTACTGTGTCAGATAATTATTATTTGGGAGGCATTCCAAAGTGGAGTTGATCCATACTTATCTTGATGATCTTATGAGAAATTGTGCAAAAAATCGGAGCTATAAAAAGGAAAAGCAAGTAGCTGTTGCCGAAGGTCCTGGAATGAAAACTACCGTAACCAAAATTTTTGTTGTAATATTTTTGTCTAGTTTTTCACTGTTTTTTGCCGAAATTACCGAAAAAAAGAAAATCGAGAAAAAAACGGAAGAAATATTTAGAGGTTACGGCAGTTTTCGTTTTGAGACCTCCCTTTCCACCGCACCGATTTTTCAAAATCCATTTGAGTTTATTTTCCGCAACTGGACGTTCTGGTGCTTGCAGAATGCGGATTACTGTATAAAGTTTCTGCAAACATCATTACAGCCTAAATATCGGATTCCTGACCTAACTTTCCTGAATTATATTGCGTTTAGAGCGCATTCGCATTGATTCGAAGAGAAATTTTCAATTTTTTTTTCTATTTCACCAGTAGAGCGCATTTGCATTATACAGCAGTTAAAAAATTAGCTTCTTTAAAAAACGAAAAATGTCAACTTTCGAGCGCATTTGCATTAATTGAGTGTATTTTTTCTAGCGATTTTTAGAAACTTTTGAAAACTTCCCAAATTTTTTGGCAAATTCTCTTATACAACCATCTCTTATACAACTTTTCTCTTATACTACCGAGTCTCTTTTACTACCACTGTCTCTTATACTACTTTTTTCAATGTGTCTCTCATACTACCAAGTCTCTTTTACTACCAAGGTCTCTTATACTACTTTTTACCACAGAGTCTCCCATACTACCAAAAGAAACAAGGCTTTCGGCCTAATCCTATAGTTGGCAAAAAATTTGGGGGTACAAGGGGGTACAACTGATTTAGGGGTACAAAATTGGTGATTCAGGGGTACAAAATTCGTAGGTACAAAAATTCGGGGGTGAAAACTACCAATGATTCTGGGGTACAACCCATTTCATACAGGGGTACGACGCTTGTGATTCGGGGGTACAATTTTTAGAAGGAGTTTCTGAATTCCTGTATTTCAGAGCTTGAAAATCTCAGAATTCTTAGAATTTCAGAACTTTGGAATTTCAGTATTTCGGAATCTGAGAATTTCGGAACTTCAGAAACTGAGAATCTGAGAACTTCCGAATTTCAGAATCTCAGGGCCTCAAAACCTCAGAATTTCAGAACTTCAGAATCTCAATATCTCTGAATTTTCAAAAATTACGGCAGAAAATTTTCACTTCTCTTGTCTTTTGATTGTTCTTTTTGATTTTGTGTCATATATTTCACTCTTTATGAAAAAAAATTTGTGGAAACAATAGAGAACTGTAAAATAATCTTCACAAATTTCACAAACTCAGAATTTTAATGTTTAATTCAGGTTTTAAACCCCAGTCCATACTTCCCTCACTACCAATTTTTCTTAATTATTTTTTTCTCAATTCTATTTCGTTTCCTTTTGCTTTCAATATTCCTTCGTTTTTGCCCAATTTTTCTCAATTTTTCTCAATTTTTCCCAATTTTTCTCAATTTTTCACAAATTTTCAATTTTTCTCAAGTTTTCCCAATTTTTCAATTTTCCTCAAGTTTCGTGGTAATTGAAATGTTCTCATTTTTTCATAATTTTCTAAATTATTGAATGAAGGAAACAATCACAATTCAGTGATTTTCCCACAAAAATTCAAAAATCCCAAAAATTGGCCCAAAATAAGCTATTTTCTTTCGAAAATTGTTCGAACTGGGCAATAGAACACTACAAAAACTATTAAATTCATTTTTTTCGATTAATTACCACGAAATTTTGAGCAAAAACTATGAAAAATGAAGGAAAATAGAGAAAAATGGGATTTGCGAAAAGCTGTGAATTTTGCGAAATTTCCCATGGAAGAGAAAACCCCGCAGCTCGGCCACGGCCATGGACTGATGACGTCATCACTGGGAAATTTTATTTTGGGATTTTTCTCCGTTTTCCTTCGTTTTTCATAGTTTTTGCTCAAATTTTCGTGGTAATTAATCGAAAAAACTTAATTTAATAATTTTGGAGGGTTTTATTGCCCAGGTCGAACAATTTTCGAGAGAGAAGAGCTCATTTTGGGCCAATTTTTGGGATTTTTGAATTTTTGTGGGAAAATCACTGAATTGTGATTGTTTCCTTCATTCAATAATTTAGAAAATTATGAAAAAATGAGAACATTTCAATTACCACGAAACTTGAGGAAAATTGAAAAATTGGGAAAAATTGAGAAAAATTGAAAAAAACGGAAAATTGGTCAAAAACGTAGGAATATTGAAAGCAAAAGGAAATGAAATAGAAATGAGAAAAAAAAACAATTAAGAAAAATTGGCAGTGAGGGAAGTATGGACTGGGTTTTAAAACCTAAATTAAACATTAAAATCAAAAAGAACAATCAAAAGACAATGAGAAGTGAAAATTTTCTGCCGTAATTTTTGAAAATTCAGAGATATTGAGATTCTGAAGTTCTGAAATTCTGAGGTTTTGAGGCCCTGAAATTCTGAAATTTTGAAGTTCGGAAATTCTGAGATTCTGAAATTCGGAAGTTCTCAGATTCTCAGTTTCTGAAGTTCCGAAATTCTCAGATTCCGAAATACTGAAATTCCAAAGTTCTGAAATTCTAAGAATTCTGAGATTTTCAAGCTCTGAAATACAGGAATTCAGAAACTCCTTCTAAAAATTGTACCCCCGAATCACAAGCGTCGTACCCCTGTATGAAATGGGTTGTACCCCAGAATCATTGGTAGTTTTCACCCCCGAATTTTTGTACCTACGAATTTTGTACCCCTGAATCATTAATTTTGTACCCCTAAATCAGTTGTACCCCCTTGTACCCCCAAATTTTTTGCCAACTATAGGATTAGGCCGAAAGCCTTGTTTCTTTTGGTAGTATGGGAGACTCTGTGGTAAAAAGTAGTATAAGAGACCTTGGTAGTAAAAGAGACTTGGTAGTATGAGAGACACATTGAAAAAAGTAGTATAAGAGACAGTGGTAGTAAAAGAGACTCGGTAGTATAAGAGAAAAGTTGTATAAGAGATGGTTGTATAAGAGAATTTGCCAAATTTTTTGAATTTGGCGCCAAAATGGGGGTGTCCCAGTGGAAGGGAAATAAGGCGTTTTTGCCTAAGCCTGTAATTTTAAACTAAAAAATCTGAAACAAAATTTAGCCAAAAAAGTGTTTTTCTCACTGATTTTCGCCAATTTCAGTACTTTTTTGGCTGAATTATTTTTTTTGTTTTTGTTTCAAATTATAGGCTTAGGCAAGAACGCCTGTTTCCTTTTCACTGAGACATCCGAAAAATGGCGCCAAATTCAAAAAATTTGAGAGGCCCCCCCCCAACTACCTTAGCGCCATTTTATTTACTTCAACAACCATATTCACAATAGAGCGCGCGTGCATCACTCTCAAACTCAAAAATCACTGTAAAACTTGTTTCACTGAAAATAACCGCTCAAAACTTTCGAGAGAAGAACAAGATCAACTTGGTTTCTCTCTCCCGGCTCCGATTTCTTGTTCAGTCATTTTTTCGTTTGCTTCCTGATTTTTGCGAAAACCGCGAGAAAAAAAACGGATAGAGTAAATCGGAGAACATTCTCTTCGGCACGTTGACCTATAGGCAAGTATCGATTTATTTAATTAGGCAATTAAGTTAAGGCTACTATAGTTTCATAATTCTGCATTATCAATCGGTGTGCCACGTCATTTCCGTTGATGACTCATTTAAGCATTTTCCGATCAGATTTTCTATCATTTTCCGTCGAAAAACTAAGATGAAAAACAGTCAATATCTTCAAATGGTTCTCATAAATCTCAATCGAAAAAGTATACTCTTTTAATTTGTCTTATTTACAAACAACACTTTTTTGCAGAATTCTTGATCATTTGTCTAGTCTCAATGCAACTACTCGTTTTTCTATTCGTTTTCTTGGCCACACCATCGGATTCTCTGAATCCCAAAAGACAGCGATTCTTCGGAACGTCTTCTGAAAATGTGAAATCCCGACGAAGTGTTCGAAATGAGACATGTCCAGAGTGTGCGATGATTAGTACAACGAAACGGAAAATTGCGGCGAATAAGTTGAAAAGAGCGCCGCCCATTTTTCAAGGTTTGCAGAAGCTGAAAATCTATAAAATATCGATTTTTCCCTTCCAGGACCTTCTAACGATCGCCAGCGAGCAATTGTAGCAGCATTCCAGCACTCGTGGACGGGATACAAGAAATATGCATGGGGACATGACGAGCTGCTTCCGGTGTCGAAGCGATTCGATGATCCATTCCAGTTAGGATTGACGATTGTGGATAGTTTGGATACAGCGATTATTATGGGATTGGAGACAGGTAATTCAGTTTTTTGTTTTGAAAGAAGGCTCCGCCCCCAAAACGCACGGGACCAATTTCTTTAATTTAAATGCATTTTTTTGAACAAACTTCGTCAATTTTTTGGCACCAATATGATCGCTAGCGCTCAAAATCTGAAATAAAATAAAATCGCTCAAAATCTGAAATTTTACGCTTTGGAGGCGGAGCTTCATTAAAAAGACACAAGCGGCGACTTCCAGACTTCCGAGACCCCTCAAATTTTAAAGGAAATTTGTTTTCGTGAAAAAAAATCTGGGAACAGTGGGCGGAGCTTAAACTGCAAGCCGCACAAGGTTTTTTCTGCAAATTAGTGGAAGAACTGTGCGACAAAAGCGTGCGCCACTTGTAATTTAGGCTCCGCCTTCTGACTCCGCCCACTTTACCGATTTTTTGTTGCGAAAATCGCTATAACCTAATTTTCCAGAAACCCGAGAAGGCGTCGAATGGATTCGGAATAGTCTGAATGTGTCTCCATCGAAAAGTGTGAATGTGTTCGAAACTACGATTCGAGTGCTCGGCGGACTTTTGAGTGGATATCATTTGACTGGGGAAGAAGCTCTCCTGGAAAAAGCCGCTAAACTAGGCGACAATCTACTCAACGCATTCACAAAATCCAAATCTCCCATCCCGAAAAGTGACGTGGATCTTGGCACCGGCGCAGCATTCAGCCCGAATCGCGGATACTCTTCGCTCGCCGAAGCGACAACGTTGCAGCTGGAGTTTCGAGATTTATCAGTACTGACCGGTGATAAGAAATACGAAGAAACGGCTTTCGCAGCGTCAGAACATGTACACAAGACGAAATGTGCCGAATATGATGGTTTATGCTTTTATCATATCGATGAGAACGGAGAATTCAAGAAAACTGGTGAGCAGAGTTCTTTAGAAAGCGGGATATCAGGGGTGGGCGGAGCTTAGGCCCGGTAGCGAAATCTTTAAAGGTGCATGTATTTTCCGTAATATTTTTTTGGCATGTTCTTTTTTCGATTTTTCGTGCGATTTCGAATTTTTAGAAAAATATCCAAAAAAAGTAGAAATATCCAAAAATTGTAAAAAGTCGCGGTAAAAAATGCGATGTTTTTCCGATTTTCGCATAAATTTGCAGAATTTTTTTCGCAAAAAAACTTCGAAAACGCAAAAATTTCATTAATTTTTTTTTGGATTTTTCGATAAATTTCAAAATTTTATAGATTTTGAAATTTTTTTGCGAAAAATCGCATCAAAATTTTTTTCGTTTTTTTGGTAAATTTCGTAAGTGTTAAAGTTTTTCTGAAAAAATCCGGAAAAATAGCAAAGAATCACATTACAACAATGAAAAAATACATGCACCTTTAAGGATTTTGCCACCGGCCCTAAGCTCCGCCCACCATAAGCTCCGCCCACCATTAGCTCCGCCCACCCTCCCACGTTTTGACCGCAACGCGAAAATAGACCATATCAATAAAATTTAATTTTTTTCCAGCGATCACTCTTGGCGCTCGTGCTGACAGCTACTATGAGTACCTCATCAAGCAATGGCTCCAGACCAAAAAATCGATTGATTGGCTGCGCGATGACTTCCTCCAATCGATGAAATCCATCAAAAATCACCTCTACCGTCAATCCCAACCATCAGGCCTCTGGTTCATTGGAGAAATCGCTGAAAACGATGATTTCTACCCAAAAATGGATCACTTGGTGTGCTTTTTATCCGGATCCCTGGCTCTTTCTCACTTAAATGGACTAGATGAAAATGGGGAACATATTAGAATGGCCAAGAAAATCGGAGAAATTTGCCATAAAATGTATCAAAATCCAACTGGTCTTGGCCCCGAAATCATTCATTTCAATATCGAAAATCGAACAGACGACGTATCCAGAGAAGATTCTTATGTCAAAAGTCTAGATGCTCATTCTCTGCTCCGTCCAGAAGCCATTGAAGCCTGGTTTTATTTGTATCGTGTCACCAAGGACCCAAAATATCAAGAATGGGGATGGTCAGCGTTTGAAGCCATTGAAAAATACGCGAAAGTGGAGACTGGAGGATACAGTTCAATCGATAATGTCCTTCGGAAGAAGGTTAGAAGACGTGACAAGATGGAATCCTTCTTCCCAGCTGAGACGCTGAAGTATCTGTATTTGCTGCTGGCCGATGATCAGGAGATTCTGCCGTTGGATCGATGGGTATTCAATACCGAAGCACACCCATTGCCTCTTTATAATTGATTTAACTTTTTTTGTATTTTTCGGGTGTTTCTACTGGGTTTCAATGAGAAAAAAAAACAGTTTACAAACAAAACTACAAAGACAACAAAAAACTAGAAAAAAAATCTATCTAATCATCCTAATTAGTCTTCCATGAATCTCCTCTCTCGATGGCCACTTGCTTACTGGCCCCACCACAGTCGATGAGATTCTTCCCTTCAGAAACACCTTCTGACAGACTTCTCGAAGCTGTTGAACGGTGATAGATTCGATACGGGCGGTCAGCTCAGGGGTAGGTATCCGGCGACCGTAGCAGAGTAGCTGGCGTCCGATGTCTTCGCAAACCGGCGTGGAGCCATCGAGCATTAGGAGGATGTTGGTGAGAAGAGAGCGTTTCGCACGGTCTACTGTAGCTTGGTCCACTTCTGGAAACACGGGTTGAAGTCAAATTTTAGAAGATATAAAGTTAATTTAGCTCTTAAAATGGAAAAATTGTGTTTGTAAAAGGGATTTTTGAAATTTTGGATTTCTTGGATTTTTTTGAAATTCTTGAAAATCCTAATTTTCAGATTTTTGAATTTTTGAACTTTCGAGACATTTTTAGCTGTTCTTCACATTTATCAAAGGATTTTCAGCCATTTTTTTCAGAAAACTCCGAGATTCAGGAAATTTAAATTTTAAGAATTAAAAATTTCGAAAAAATTAGAAATCTCAAAATTCGAATTTTCTAATGAAAAATTCAGAAATTCAGAAAACTTCAAAATTATGGATTTTGAAAATTCCAAAAATCTGGAAATTCTGAATTTTTGCGAAAAATTCGAAAAATTTTCTAAAAATATCTTACGACTCGTATGCGCTCGAAAGACGGCGACCGCCGACCGACCGCGTACCGAAGTTGTGTATTTGCGCGTCAAATTGGGTATTTGCGTACGCAGCATTGAAGTTCACAAAATAATAAAAATTGTCGTAATATAAAATGCTGCGTACGCAATCACTTTGACTCACAAATGCACAAATTCGGTAGGTGCGCCGACCGATAATTTGATGAAATTAGAAAATTCTGGAATACTAACCGCTAGCCAGCCATATCCACTGGTTCAACACCGAATCAATAAAATTATCGACCGATTTCGGATCGATGACAAAATAGGTGCCAACGAGTCCGGTGTCCTGGAAAAATTATTGAAATTTTAAATTTAAAACATTAGAAAAATCACTTTATAGCAGGTGTTGAAACTCTGGAACGATTGAATTCCGTCGTCACGGGAGAGAAGTTCGGCGAGTTGTGTTGGAGCGTTGACTCCGAAGCCACGCATGCGATCGTATTCGCCCATTAGCTGGAAGAAAATTTGGGGTTTTCAGATTGAAAAAAGTGGGAAACGTTCAATATTTTTTTTGGAATTTTCCAATTTTCATAATTTTTGAATTCCAGAATTTTCCGAGTTTCAAATTTTACTAACTTGAAAATTTCGGAATTCCGAATCTTTCCGATTTTCAAAAATTCAAAAATCCAATAAATTTCGAGTTTCGAAATTTCGTACTTTTTGAATTTCCCGTCTTTGTTTTAAATTTCAAAATTTCGCAATTTTCCAATTTTGACATTTTAGGAATGTTTCGATTTTCAAACTTTCAAAATTCCTGAAATTGACCAATTTTCGAAATTTTCAAAATTCAGAGTTCCGAGCAAATTTTGCGATTTTTCGATTTTCGGAATTTCTGAATATTTCGATTTTGATAATTTCATAATTTTTCAATTTTCAAAACTTCGGATTTTCGAATTTTCAAAAAATTTTTTTCAGATTTTTTTCGGATTTGATTCGGATTTTTTGATTTTTTTTTCGGATTTTTCCGATTTTCGTTTTTTCGGAATTTTCCGATTTTCAGTTTCCGAATTCAGCGAAATTTTGTAAAAAAAAACGAAAAAATGACACAAAAATCAGTTTTTCAGCGACTCCAAACTCCAAAGTCTTACTGTATTCGCCACCATCAACGCCAGATTATCCTCATGGGTCCACGAGACTCCTTCCACAACCAATGCTCCAAAAAGCATGGGCAACTCCTTAATTTGTCCTCTAACATCACACGGAGTATAAACAGCCGGAACGAATTCACTCGAAGAATCTCCATGCTTCAACCCTCCAAAATATTTCTCAGCCATTTTCACAACGTCATCATGATTGACGCCTCCAGCCGCCGCTAAAACCATCCGACCACTTCGATAATGTGTATCGATATAGGATCGAAGATCGTTTCGATTGATTGTTTTAATAAGTTTCGCTGGTCCAAGAATAGTAAAGCTAAGAGGATTTCCTTCGAATACAGAGGTGTGCAGGTCGTCGAAAACGACTTCTTGAAAATTTTGAGCAACTTCTTCCATTTCTCGAAGAATCACTCCTCGTTCAGATTCGATATCATTTTTGGCAAGACTGCTGTTCAACAGAATATCAGACAAAATATCCACAGCTGTAAAATTCTTTAATTATGGACTACAAACTACACTTTCCGTCTCACACTGATCCAACTTCTCCGTAAAACACTTTGCATAATACGTCGTACTCTCTCTGGAAGTGTACGCATTCAAATGTGCTCCAATGTTCTCCACTTCCAGCTCTAAACCCATTCTCGTCCTACGTGGCGTTCCTTTAAACGCCATATGCTCCAAAAAGTGGGCGGTTCCGTTGTTCTCCGCGTTCTCGTAACGGCTTCCGGCATCGATGAACACACCGATCTGAAAAATGAATTTTTAAAAATTTCAGGTGATTTTCAGATTCTACCGTTGCCGTTGAGCCACCCGTATTCTCTGTAGCAACTCGGAATCCATTCGGCAACGTTGTTACAATCGTTTCCGGTACGAAGACTGGTTTGGCGTGTGCTTGAGCGATTTTTCGCTGAGACGTCTGGAAAAACGGGGTTTCAGAGAGAAAATTGGCTTAAAACGTTACCTGGAACAATCCGGAAGCTAGTCTTCTGTACATAATCTGAAAAAATTGAAAAATTTCTCTATTTTTTGTGTGAAAATCCAATTCTAAGTCTTATTTTCTGAAAAAAGAAAAAATATGACGATTTTCCTCGAGGAGTACACCGGGGGATGGAAGAGTGGGCGCCACTTCGGCCACCTCGTTTTCAAAGCGCGGTTATTTGAATTCAAAACAAGCAAATGATGTTTATGTTTCTCAAAAAGTTGCTGCTCACATACAAAAGAAGAGGTTCGGGGTCTAAACATCTACACACAAAAATATGTACGTTTACACCGAAAATAATGCGAAAAATAGTAGGGAATTTGAAGAGAAGGGGGGAAGCATTAGACAAAAAAAAGAAAGGAAAAATACTGGAATAGGGATGAATATGAGTAAACAAAAGTGTAACAAATAGAGAAGAAAGTTAGAGTTTTCCAGAAGATGAATTCGTCGTATCGATACTTTTGAGTGACGTCGTCGATGGGCGGCCTCCAGAAGTGGAGAGATCCGCCGAGGTTCGACGATGAGAAATGCTTCGTTCGATGGTTTGAAAATGATTGATTCGAGATTGAACAAGGCCGCAGGCAGAGCTACGAAGCGCAGTTACAGATGGACGTGCCTCGACCGGTTGGTGTGGAATTGGAAAATTCTGGAAAAAATTGAAAATTATGGTTACAGTAACCCTTCAAAAAATACTTACAGTATCCTCCGTGGAATTTTTGACAATCTCATTGAAATCTCCAAATTCCATACTGCTATTCGGATCCGTAGAGATTTGGGTTCTGGAAGTTTTCCGAACCGGTATTGGCGTGCTTTGATGAGAATACTTCTGCTCTTTTGGCGGCTCCTTCTGAGTCTCGTGAGATCTCATTGGTGGCAAAAATGGACATTTGAAGTTCTGAGAATCGTCGTCAGCTGGAACCAATGGAGACATGACGGTCGGTCTAGGCGAGCCAATCATCAACGACGATGATCTGGTTAAGGATGGTGATGGTTGATTTTGGGTTAGGTGTTCTGTTGATGCTTGTTGCTGTTTCATTGTTGGTGACGAGTAGATGAGATTCGATCGGGCTGGGGGAGGACGGCTACTACTCAGAAGGCGTCGGTCACGAGGCGGTGTAGCCAGGCCAGCGTCTGGAAATTAGTTTTTAATACAGTATGACAGAAAATGAGAGGTGTAGAAGAGGTGACTGTGCGCCGAAGGTCCTACAACGAAAACTACCGTAACCTGAAAATGTTTTCTGGATTTCAAATACTCACACTCTTGATCCAGCTGATCCTCTGTCAAATGCGATCTTGATCGGAACCCGAAAAACGGCGATAATTTTCCCTCTGGTCTTGCCGGTGGCGCTGTCGACGGCGATCGGAATAGCGGAGAGCGAGCCAGAATCGGCGACACTTTTTCGGCCTCAATCGCCTTCTCCACCTGGCTTCGTTGAGTTTGAATCGGCGATGAAACGACGGTTTGCGTCTTTCCAACCCATACATGACCGTGTTGTTGGATCTGAAAATGGTTTCATTGTCATTTTGACATAGTGGCCTACTTTTTGAATTTTGAATTTTCTAGGCCACTATGGTAAATGGCCTTTAAATGACCTTATATTCAATTGTGCGGTTTTTATGTCACTTTAACATGATGGCCTAACTTTTGCAAGTTGAACAACATGTTACATGACCTAGAAATGGTCTGGTATTAAACTGGGATGGTTTTTATAACATTTTGACATGGTGGCCTAACTTTCAAAATTTTAATTTTCTAGGCCACCATGTTAAATTGCCTAGAAATAGCCTTATATTAACATGATGTGTTCTCTAGACTATTTTAACATGGTGGCCTAACTCTTGCTAGTTTTCTAGACCAGCACTTACCCCAATACTATCAAGTTTTCTCAACGGAATCGCTGAGAGTGGCGTCTCTTGTGGATAATTTCGATGAGCGACGGATTCAGAAGCTGTCCGGCGGCTGAGCATCGGTGTGGCCACCACGTCAAGCCTCTGTTTCATCTCTCGTTCCAGCTGTTGTCCGATCTTCGATTTCGCCGCTGACATAATCTGAAAATCCGTTTTTCGACGCAGCCACTTTGAAAGAGGTTCAAAAACACTTACAGATCGAACTTTACGATCCTCCTTCTTCCTAGTCGGCGTCTCACAGATCAGCGGATACTCTTGTTGACTTTTCGACGGCGACTGCTGCTTCATGATTGGACTTGCAGTTATGGGACTAGCGATCTCAACTTTTGGTGTCGGTGGAAGCTTATCGAATGTTGCGATGGATCCATTGAGAACCATCATACTCTCCGATGGTCCAGAAGACGTGACGGCTAGGCGGCGATGGCGACGTTCGGCGACGCCGATTCGACGTTGACGCGCTTGACTGTTCATCTAAAAAGAAAAAAACATTGGGTTGGAAGCATCTGAGATTTTCTGATTTCAATCGAACCATAATAGTTCCTGGCCTAGAAAGCTCAACGCTAGGCCACCATGCTAAAATCACCTAGAAAACATACCAGTTGAATATCAAGTCGTTTCTAGGACATTTATCATGGTGGCCCAACTTCTACAAGTTGAGTTTTCTAGGCCATCATGGTAAACGGCCTAGAAAACAAACCAGTTGAATATTAGGCTATTTCTAGGCTAGCTGTTTTGGTGGCCTAGAAAACTCAATTAGCAAAAGTTAGGCCATCATGTTAAAATGGCCTGGAACAAACAAGGTGAATATCAGGTCATTTTAGGCCATTTTGACGCGGTGGCCCAACTATCGCAAGTTGAGTTTTCTAGGCCA